TGATATCACAGAATAGTGAGATTCTCTAAATTCCAATGTATATTTGCAGTAAGTGCTATTCTAAAACTTGAGCTTTCCATGCAGAAATATAGAGTTTTCCTCCCAATCTACTTATCTACTTTTTTTTTTAACCCTAACAATATGTTGTAGACATGAGGCTACAATCATGCTCCAGGAAGATCAAAAGCATTAGTGTACACTTCATTTATCTTCATCTCAGGGAGATTAGTTCCTGAAATACGCTAAGAAAGTACAGTCTATTAGGGTAAGGATTCAGCTGTACTAAGTCTATGCAGTTTGTTCTTGCAATATTTTCATATCTTGGATGCTAGAAATATCCTGGAGATTCTTGTAAGATGTCATTCATTTAGGGCTAAAAGCTCGACGGAGGCAGGCTGTTCTCACAATATTAGGCCACATCTGACTTGGAACTGGAAAACAGGCCCTTTCAGAAACAAAACTACAGAAACAGATGTATTCAGATACAGATTTTCTAAGATGTTTGAATTCCAACTTATGGTCTGTCTCCAGTAACAGTTTTGTTATTTTTATTAGTCAATATGAGGACACGTAAACTTCTCATGTTGCTAAAAGTAAAGCAGATCGCTAAGAATTACAGTACAATATTAATAGAAATGTAGCCGTGTTAGTCTGGTGTAGCTGAAACAAAATACAGGACTATGTAGCACTTTTAAAGACTAACAAGATGGTTTATTAGATGATGAGCTTTCGTGGGCCAGACCCACTTCCTCAGATCAAATAGTGGAAGAAAATAGTCTGTTAAGTTCTCTCACTACTCCCAAAGTCAGTAACACTGCATTTCAGTGAGAGGGCCTTCTTGCTTGCAGAGCTGCTGAAAACATGCATGATGCAAGAGCAAGACAATGCAGGACTGAAGAAAGATGTGGATTTTGTTGCCTCTGGATTAGGCATTCATTTCATATAAACCACAGCAGAAACTAAGACATCTCTTCCAAGCCCAGACAAACCCAATTAAATGATCATTCTGCACTTCATCCTATGAAAAGCAATGTTGGGAAATACCACAGTAGAAAGAGACCTGATCTGAAACCCATTTCTGAACACCCATTTCCAAATAGCTCCTAGTTTTTTTAACAGCTGAAACAGACCCCTCAGATACACACACTCCGGAACTCTGGGGAGTTTGAAGGTTGGATCTGAGACTGAATTTTGAGGGCTGAGCCTGATTTTAAGCAAAACTTACTCATTCGCATTTAGCTGAATTTTTCAATTTTTAATTGGACTGGGAGCGGGCATTAGCTGGCATTTAGTGACTTGGTGCCACAGAGCCCTAGGTCTGGGGGAACTGGGATCCTATAATCAGAATTCTCCTTCCTTTATTCAGTCTTTCCATCATAAAAACACCCCCTACACCACAACCCTGGAAGTACTCACATTTGGAATGTCTGTCACACAGGGCGGCTGCCCGCATGTCACACAGCCTTATCGTCCCTTTACTGCTGCTGTATACAAAGGTGTTGCAGTGGTGTGGATGGAATTCCGCTGCAGTGATCACCTCTGTTAGCTCCTCCATGTTGGCTGGCTTGATATCGACAATATCTGAAACAGGAAAGTTAAGGAAAAACAAACAGCGCTGTCAACATGCAGCCCCGGTGGTGATCAATCACCTCTGGCTTTCTTTATTATGCAATGTTTAACGGGGGCATTTTGTTTTTGACAGCGATTATGAAGACAAGGATCAAATCTTTGCTGTTGTAATCGTAAGTGGCAAAGTTCTGCACCAGAAACTCTCAGCAAAGCCTTGTATTCGTGGCTGTGGATCCATGTTAGATCATATGTAAAGCAGCAGTACTTGATGTATAAATAGGTTGAACCCCTCTAGTCTGGCAATATCTGTGGTTCAGCATGGTTTTAGTTACCTGGACATCCAGTGTTCCCTCTAAGCTGCGTGGCACCACAGCTTCACAGGTGATTAATCATCCCCTCTCAGTCAGAGGCTCAGGTCTCCATGCACCGCTTAGATGGAACACTGGAACACTTAGAGCAGCTTAGATAGAACACTGGGGATGTCCACTTATGGCCAAGATTCCCACGGTCCCATAAAGTTTGTTTACAGCCACCTGTCCTGGCTTTCAGTGCTCTGTGCAGTTACATAGTTCTAATTTATCCCTAAGTGTCTTCTAAGCAGTGGAAGTGTTGGTAATGCTGCTAGACAATACTGACTTCCCAGGATTTGGAAAATTCTCTGGTTCAGCATCAGTCAGATTCCAAGGGTGCCGGACTAGAGAGGACAACCTGTAGTAGTATAGCACCCATCACTTGATCTGAATAGTATCATTAGATGTTTTATAGATGGGGAAACTGACACTCAGAGAAGTGATGTTTTCCACAGTGCCTCACAGGTCACCAGTAGTTCTCAACCAGGGGTATGAATATTTCCAGGGGGTACATCAACTCATCTTTTTACCAAAGGCTACATAAAAAGCACTAGCAAAGTAATTACAAACTAATACAGGCAATGACTTATGACTGCTTTATGTACCACCCACTGTAAGTGCAATATTTATATTCCAATTGTTTTCTTTTATAATTATATGGTAAAATAGAAAGTAAACAATTTTTCAGTATTAGTGTGCTGCACTTATATCACTGATTTTGTAAGCAAGCCATTTTTAAGTGAGGTAAAATTTGGAGGTACACAAGGCAATTCAGACTCCTGAAAGGGGTACAGTAGTCTGGAAAGGTTGAGCACCACAGGTTTCCAGTACTAATCTAACTAGTGAAACGTACTCCCTCCCTCTATGTAGATTCAACCAGGCAAGTGGTGCCTTGGCTGCCATGATTACTACAGCTACTTCCTTACTTCTTTACAATGTGGCAGATATTTTCTTTTAGCATGTGTTGGTTCTGTATTGTACTGCTCGTGGCCTTAGAATTTATGTTGTTTAGGGGAAGGACAATATTTGCTCAGAATATTTTAACATTATGTACTCTAGACAGTGAATATAAATTACATAACAATAAGATCTGTTTAGAAAGGAGAAGACAGAGAGGGGACATGATAGCAGTTCTCAGGTATCTAAAAGGGTGTCACAAGGAGGAGGGAGAAAAATTGTTCTCCTTGATCTTTGAGGATAGGACAAGAAGCAATGGGCTTAAACTGCAGCAAGGGAGACTTAGGTTGGACATTAGGAAAAATTTCCTAACTTCCAGGGTGCTTAAACACTGGAATAAGTTGCCTAGGGAGATGGTGGAATCTCCATCTCTGGGGGTATTTAAGAGCAGGTTAGATACACATCTATCAGGGATGGTCTAGATGGTGCTTGGTCCTGCCATAAGGACGGGACTGGACTCTATGATCGCTCAAGGTCCCTTCCAGTTCTAGTGTTCTATGATTCTAACTGAGCAAGAATACCAGTGCTTACATTTCCATCCATTTCTGCAATGAAATACTGGCTTCCCAAAAACACTGCTCTCGAGAGACACATGCTATTACTGGGAATAAAACAGATCAAGAACTATGGCTGGATTTTCAAAATTACCTAAAAGGAGTTAGATGTCCAAATCCCTTTGCATTGTAATAGAAGTTGGGCATCTCACTCCCTTAGACTCATTTAAAAATCACAGCCTACATTTATTGCCTTTACAGGCAGTCCCCGGGTTACGTACAAGATAGGGACTGTAGGTTTGTTCTTAAGTTGAATTTGTATGTAAGTCGGAACTGGTACATATTGTAGGGGAAACTCTAGCCAAACATTTCTCCAGAACTCAGTTTTATTCTCCCACACCTCACTTCCCTCAGTCCTTTATTCTCAAGCTAAGGTGTCTGCTGAGAAAAGCCACTCCGCGTCTCCCTGGTCTGCTGGGGGGGCGCTAGCTTCGCGTCTCCCTGGTCTGCTGGGGAGAAGCAGCTAGTGCGGGGTTGCCTCACCCCATTTGTAAGTAGGGATCCGATGTAAGTCGGATCCATGTAACCTGGGGACTGCCTGTAGTATGAATCTGATTTTGACAGACATTGTTCTTCACTTCTCACTGTTTGAATGAGGTCAATGTGAACATACACCCCAGAAGAAACTAGTGCACTAAAGAGAAATCCCATCTTCTTTCATGTTATCTATTTACTTAGAGATTGCAGCTGCTTGTAACACACACTGTAATGCCCTCTTTGTTTAAAAAAAAAAAAAAAAGGCAGGACTCTAGCAAATTTGCCATGAGGGAAAATAAACAGCTCTTATTACAGTTGCTGGAAAAAGAAAATAGCCCCACATTATGTAACAATGCATGAAAAACAAAACATGCTGAACATGAAATGACTGCTCTAACAGGAAGATTTTTCAGCTCAAGAAGGTTCTGAAAGTTTAGACTCAGTAGTATCCCAGACTGAAACCATCCTGACATTCAAGATGAGCTTGAAATATTTGTAGTCAGATATACCAGATGGAAGGAGTCAGAAAGGAACCATGTCTATCACAAAGAGCCTCCTAGTGGTACAGATGAGCCTTTCATGAGTCTATCAATCTAGCTGAGACACTGACTCAGTGGTCACTGGTGGCGAGCAGCTTTAGATTTCACAGTCCAATCAAAACGCCCAGCATGGGACAATTTACTGACGGTGCAGAAGGAGAGGGGGGATTGCACTATTACTTTCATCACCCCAAAGAAAGCAAATTAAGTTCCTGCTGTTAACAGCAATTTCCAGAGACAGGAAGAGAGGCGAAAAAAAAATCAGCTGTGAACTTCATAGGCCTGTGGGGATGGCTTCAAAACTTCATTGCAAGACAAGTTCTTTCCTTAGTGCAGCATTGTGGATGTGAAGGTTTAAAGAAAGGAAATTTTTCCCTCAGGAGAAGGATTGGTTAAGGTAGGCCTCAGAGATGGAAAGGGCTGATAGCAGGGGCGATAGCCCCGTATAGATCAGTCAGGTACCCTGCCACCCATTCTCAACTTTGCCAATGAACGTCAGTTAGGGTTGCCAGACGGTTTCAACAAAAATATCGGACACACTTGACATTACACCTGTGTGACGGCGCGTTGGGGTCCCCCGTCTCCTGCACCCCGAAATGGCACAAACAGACTGCACCAGCCAGTAGAATTGAGGAAGTTTATTGCCTCTCCAGGATACAGCACAGCACAGATGTAGTCTGGTCACAGAGCTGGGCTAGGATGCCTCAGGCCCCCTTGAGTTGGGGGGAGACTGGGCCCCTAAACTCCAGCTCCTCTCCCTAGGCTGTCTCATCCATCCTCACAGACAGCCACCAACCAACTAACCCCTTCCTTTGTTCCTCTCCATGGGGGGTGTCTGGCCACTGGTTCAACAAGTTTGGCATTAGCTTGGCCTAGTGAGGTTTTCCCTGCTGGGTCTTGCTCCATACAGCAGGGGTCACCACAGCCCAGCAAGTACCCCCACTACGTCACAACCTGATATAGAATTTACTGGACATTTATATTTTCTCAATGTGTTTCCCAAACAGAAAGCTCAACTACTGGAACTGTCCAGTTCAAAACTGGACACTTGGCAACCCGAAAGCCAGTACTAATCTGCAATACTTCTGTTAAGACTCTTTTGGAATGAAGGGTGGTTTTCAGCTCAAAGTGCTTTATAGGAAGGCAAATATTACTATTTCCACTGTACAGATGGGGCAGCTGAGATTGAGGGAGGCAAAGTGATTTACACATGGTCATGCTGTGATTCAGTGGCAGAACATGAATTATAACATCTGCCAGCCAGTGCCCTATACCCTGGATTGCACAAAGGTGATATCTAGTTCTCACTGACTGCAGAGAGGTTAGATTTCTTAGATGTTTGTGAAGCACCACGACAGTCCAAGATGAAAAGTGACATTGAAATGCAGGGTTTCGGGACCCTTACAGCTTTGCCCATACGCTTCAATTCTGATTTGCAACACCTCTTGCTATTAGAGCAAGTTCCTGGTCCATGATAAGCAGTGCCTTCGAATCAGTCAAACTGTACAGTGACTTTGTGATGTGCACAGAAAAGGCACTGAAATGAAATCCCCACAAACTCATTTTCACTTATGACTTAAGTAGGATTTGAGCATAAGTCTCTAGTGGTAAAAAGCTAGCGTGTTAATCCTGTGCATGCTGTTCTCTCCATGGAGTTTTAGACCTTATTAAACTGCACTGTACTTCATGCAATGGGAGTCTGTCTTTTTAAACTAACTAAACAATTCCTCCATTTTTAAGACTATCCAGCAACTGAGTTTTGAAACTGGCAGTTAGTTCATGGAGCAGCTCCAAAAACAATTGTTAATGAAAGCCCAGCAATGCTAAAAACTAATTTAAAATGCTGAGAGCCTGACTGAAAACAATGGGATTGTATCCATAACTGGGAGAAGAGTTTGGCCCTGGAAATCTGTTGCCAAACTAAATTTTGCAGAGTAGTGCAATAGAATGAGGGATTTGGCACACCCAATAAAGATCTCATATTGCTCTAATCAAATGGAAAACCCAATACTGGGGTGCCAGAATGCATAAGAGAGCTTGGGGGTAGTTGGGTTGTGCTCGGGACGTGCAAACCTGGAGTACTTGATCCCTCCTGAAGAGAAGGCATTGCGTCTGGGGGAGTCTCTGGGTTGCAG